AGTGGTGGTGTTTGGGGTGTGGGTCTCTGGCCAGCTGCCACTCTCTGCCTGCCAAACCATGAAAATGGGGTGCTGTGGCACCTTGACCCCACCACTCCCCAGGCAGCACTTTGTGGATCCACTGGAGCCCCCTGGCCTATGCCAGGCTGCCGTGATAGGGGCGAGCATCTCAGTGGCTGAGGCTAGCAGGCTCCAGCTCATTCAGTCACCACTGGGGGAGGAAGTAAGGAAAGCCCAGAGTCATTGACGGTCAGCCTTGAAAGTGCCCTATTTGAAATGATCCCCTCCCCCATGGTCATCGCCCTGGAACTGAATAAGGACTGAAAGTCACCAGGCTTCACCTTCACCGGCGTCTGCTCCCCAAAACAGAAATTGTGTGTCTTAAAAATATTAATATTTCATAGACTGCACAACAAGTAATGTGCATATTTGGCAAAACAAAGTGAATATTTTGTAGGCTGTGGTGCAATAGAATTTAAACCTACCTCGGTTATTAGAAAAACACGGCAAACCCTCAGACCCTGGGCCCAGTTTGTCCCCTGAGCACAAGGCTGAGTTGGTGGCAGGCGAGGAGGGGACTAGCCATGGGGCCATCAGCCCTCTGCTTGTTGCATTCGGGGGCCTGATACTCCTGGGAACCACAGGGGAGAGGCTGCCTAGACCCTCCCCCTCCCTGCACGTGGCTGCCCACCTGTCCTTAGGTAAAGTGTCCTGATGAATCCTCCCGCCCACTCTCCTCAGCTTTGCCCCTCCCAGAGCCTCTCCTTACAAGGTCTACTCAGAGCCTCCCTTGTGCTGGTGTGCCCTCTGTATCCCCAAACACCCACTCCCCAACTCTCCACCAAAGTTCCTTCCTTCTCCACCTTTTCCCCTTCCTCCTCCTCCTCCTCTTCCTCCCCCTCTTCCTCCTCTTCCTCCCCCTCTTCCTACTCCCTCTTCTGCTCCTCTTCCTCCTCCCAGGCTCTCCTTTTTCCTTGGGAGGCTGCTTGGGGTCACAGCTCATGGAGGGTGGAGGCCAAGACCCAAGGGACCTCTTCCACCCATTCCTCCGCCTCTATCACTGAAGGACCTTCATGCCGCCCTCTGCCTACACTTGCTTGGTCTTTGTTTATCAGCCTCTGAATCACTCTGCCAGCCTCGGTAGTGACTTCAGTGCTGGCTCCCCATCTTCCTGACAAAGTCCTGGGCATGTTCTCCATTCACAACAGTTACTGTCTCTACCTGACCTCTCACCATTTCAGACTATAACACTTCAGGGGCCTCCTCCAGACTGCACATCCTGGACCCTCCACACCTGAGACTTCACTGGCTCGCCAATGGAGCCCCCTCCCAGATCCTGAGCTCTGTGGTTGTCTTCTCTTCCTCCCCCTTGTCCTGACCTCCAGTCCATCCTAGGGCCACCCAGTCATGTTGGCTCCATTCAATGCCCAGACTGACTCCAGAATCCCCTATCCCATGGCCTTCTGGTCCCAGTCACAAGGGACCCCCCCACCCAATGGTCTTTGTCTCTTCAGGGCTGCTGGGCACCAATGGACGTGTCTCCATTCCCCCATGCAGCATTCAGCCCTCACTGGAGCCTGAGATCATTCCCCAAGGGGATGCCTGCCCCCCCAACACTGACTAGTGGGTGTGTCTCCTGCCCCCCTCCCTAGAAGGCCTAAGCTCCCTGAGCTGGTCTTCTGGGTGCCTGCCAGAGGCCAACCCCCTGCCCCACAGCCATCCCCCATCTCCCCTCAGTCTCCCTCCCTGGTTCCTTCCCACTTCCCACAGACCTTGCTCACCCTCCTCTCTGTCTGTGCCCTCCAATTCTTGGCCAGACTTCCTAACGAAGGTGACGGCAGGCTGCCTCCATGTGCTCACTACCTGCTCTGTCCTCAGCCCCTTCCAGTCTGGCTCATTCCTGGCCTGGCCTGAAGACTCCTGAAGCCTCAGTTCATTCCACCAGGATCTGCATGATATCCAAATGCAGCGGGCTTCCTCCTCCCCCAGGCCGCTTCTTCTGATGGCTGGCCCTCCCTGCTCTGGAACACTGGCTCCTCTCCCAGGCCCTTCTACTCCCCAAGGCTGGTCTGTCCTAGGCAGTGCAGCTCCTCCTCTCCCTCTCTTGTCTCTCTTGCTCCCATAGCCTCTCCACCTGCCCTGAAGCATCCTGACTCATGTCTGCCTAGCCCACACCCTCCTTCCTGCCTGTCTGTCTTTCTCTGTCCTATTGGTCACCAAGTGGCTTGTGCTTCTGGCCCCCGAGTCACCTGGCTTTCTTCCCTCTCCCTCACATCTTGTAAAACACACACAGACATGGGACTGAGTATTCTGATCTGAGAAGGACCTCAGAGGCCTTCCTTCCACTCCCACCGCCTCATTTTACAGATGAGGAAACAGAGGTTAGAGAAGGAAATGATTTGCCCCGGCCACACAGCTAGTAAATCCGTCTGTCTCCCCAAAGCAGGATTTGAACTCCGGCCTTCCTGAGCCCCGGTCCAGCCTTCTTTCAGCTGCCCTGCCTGGCTATCTCCTGGCTTCTCTCTCTCGCATCTGTCCCCTTCTCTCTTTCCCCAGGGCCCCCACACTCCATCGGACTGGACCACAGCAATCACTTCTCACTGGCATTCCTCCCAACCCATCCTTCAGCTACAGCCAGAATCACCCAGAACAAGCCAGAGAGAGAAGCAAGGAGACAGAGACAGAGATGCACTGAGAGTTGAGGCAGGGTGGGGGGGGGGAGGGGGAGGCAGGGTTGAGGCAGGGCCACAATCCAGACAGAAAGAGAGCAAGCAGGAGAGAGTCTGTGCCAGAGGGCATGGTCAGCTCACTGCAGCCTCCAGAGACAGGGCAGGGGTCCTCGAGGGCCCTGGAAGAAGCCAGTCCAGTCCCTCCAGGAGGTGAGAAGCACCAGAGATCAGGAGGAAGGGTCTGGCCCGGTCACTCCCTGCCTGCACCCTGGCGCTCCCCCAGGGCTTGGCCAGCCTGGAATGCTACCAGCTGCATCTCTGAAACCCTGGAGTTCCTGGGGTGCTTGGCCCTTGGCTCTGCTGGTGCTCCAGCTGACCCCAACCAGATCTTTTTCATTTCCCTTGTGATCCAAGACATCCTGGCCCTGGCCACAGATGGGCCTCATTACAGTCTGGCTGTACCTGCTCTGCCTTCCCAGCCCACCAGGCCTCATTCAGGTACCATTTTAATCAGGAATTCTGGCTGCGATTGGTCTTCTGTCTCAGGCCAGGGACTAGGTCATCAGTCTTCTCCTAACAGCAGAGCAATCCTGGAGGTCGGGGCAGGACGGCTTCCCTGGGGCCTCCTGCAGTGAGCATTCAGCCAGGGACAAGGGTATCCCCCTCATGGACCAGAATGGAAACCACTCAGGCTCACCTCCAGCCTTGGTCATGGCTCCCAGCTCTTGTCACCGGAGATTTGACCGGGCTAGGCATGCCTCTGAGAGGTCCCTTAATGTGCCTAGACATCTGCACCGTAGATGCCTCCAACCCAAGATGGCCAGGCCCAGCAGGGCCAGGCAGACAGTCCTCCCGGTGATCCCTGAACACACACACACACACACACACACACACACACACACACACACACACACACACACATACAGAGCAGCAGCAGCATCTTTCCATCCCCAGACAGATGGACCGTGCCCAGCAGGCCCAGGCAGACAGGCCAAAGGGGCTGAGAGGGTTGAGGGTTGGGGCTAGCATGGTGCCCATGGAGGCTGGCTGGAGAGATCTGAGCCACTTACATCTGCTTTTCTTTTTTCAGCTCAGGAGAATGACCTCTGCACAGGCAAGGATGGAGCAAATATGGGCAAGACCCAGAGAACCTAGGGAAGGGTAAAGTGGAACGATGCTGCTTTTGTCCATCCAAGACCCGACTGTAAGGAGGTCTCTAGCGGAGGGCCTAGGGGATCTGCACTTGAGGCCCGTGCTGGTCAGGATGGTGTGATGACATTAGTGCATGTCCCATTCACTAGCTTCAGATGCCAAGAAGCTTCTGTACAAAAAGGCAGAGGTGGAAGGGCTTTGAGGTCCTCAGTCTGGTGAGGTGACTTGGAGTGAGTCATTGACCCCTGTGCCTCAGTTTTCTCATCTATAGCATGGGAATAATAAGCCCTGCACCACCAACCTCCCAGGGCCATTTCCTCATTGGATAGGCCCCGTGAATCTCACAGCCCTCTGGTCAGTGGGAGTTATGGTTATAACTAGCACCTTCGGTGACAGGGTCCAAAAAGACTTTGATCAGCAGGACCCTGGGCCCCATTTAAAAAGATGACTTTAAAAGAGGTCAGTGGAAAGTCTGACAACTGGATTCCAGAAGCCATCTTCACCAGGAAAGGATGAGGCAGGGCTGGCCAACAGCAGCCCAGTGAGAAAGGTCCCAGGTTCGAGCTCCCAGTCTGTCAGGACCATAGACCCTAGGGTGGGGGCTCGTGGGCCACCCATTTGTCCACCCAGAAGCTGGCCAAGAACAGAGGCCACCCAGCCTCCAGGAGGGCCAGGAAGGCCTGCCTAGACTGGCCATCCTGCCCCTCCCCCATTGCTCCAGGCCCTGCCCCCTGCCTTTCCCCAAGGCTCCAGCCCTGCCCCCAGTCCCCAGGACACATCTGCAAACACCTGAAGGTGGTGCCCAGGTGCAGTTGCCAAACTGCACCCTGAGTTTTCTCTACACTGGGGTCCGCACTCCCAGTCCTTCAACTGGTCCTCATTTGGCATGAAGACAAGGCCCCTCCTCCCCTCAGCTACCCTCCTGGGCTCAGGTCAGACCACACCTGGAGGTCTGGCATCAGTCCAGGGCCCAGCATCTTAGGAGAGACAGGCGAGGAGGGTGGGAGAGGAGAACAGGAGGACCCTCTGCCCCGAGGCCAGTCACTCTGACCGCCGATTTTACAGGTGAGGAAACTGAGGCCCAAGGCCCCCAGAGGCAGACATGAAGGCCAGTGTAGGGCCTCCAAGCAGGTGAGCCACCCCCACCCCAGAAAGAAAAGGAGAAGCTTTACAGCAGGATAAACACCCACACATTCATTCATTTATTCATGATAAACACCCACTCATTCATTCATTTACAACACTCAGAGCCAGAAGGCATGTGAGAGGTCATTTTCCTGAAAGATGGTCTTGTAGCTGCCCCTGGGGCCTTCGGACAGGATCCTGCTTCCCTTCAGAAGAGGGACATTGCCCCCCTCCCCCTTTCCCTCCTCCCCACCCCGGGTCCGGTGGTTCTGGCTTCTTCTGACTCCCTGGTGTACAAGGGGAGGGGGTGGGGGCCCTGTTCCCAGGGTGATGAGGGCTCCTCCATCTAAGATTGAGAGAGGCCTGAGTCACACCCATGGGGCACACCCAAAGGTGAGCCTACACCTCTCTGATTAGCAGCTGGGATGGGCAGCCTCTGCCCTTCTCCCCACTCCACAGCCCCAGTAGAGCCTGAAGAGTTGAGCCCAGGCCTCCAGGGCACCTGGGAGAGAGTCCTAGCCCTGGAGCTGATGGAGTGATGGGACCTGGACCCCTAAAAGGAAAAGAGCACATCTTTGAAAGCGACCCAGTCCCTGAATTTTCCCAGTACCCCTGATCACTGGTCTTGCCCAAAGCATCTAGCCTAGCCCAGCCCACCTAGATTACCCAGTTAGCCTACTTGATGCCCTTTCCCTGTTGTGCCTGGCCCAGCCCAGACTCCTTCCACTCCTCAAATCCCATCCAGGTCCTTCACAAACCTTTTTGTGTATATATACATATACATATATACATATATATATCATTGCCCACTCCTATGGTGTTACAAGAAAACTTGTCATTTGACTGGAAGATGGTTTGAATTCATTCCAGGTGGATTCCACCCTGTACCCCGACATTTCAGGTTCCCATCAACCCCAAACCACTTCAGAGCCAGGGGACCCAGGTTCAAAACCTGTCCCTGTGTGACCCTTCTCTGTGGGTGGCCTTGGAGGACACTCTTCCTTACTCTTCTCAACAATGAGAGCTTTCCACTCCATCATCTCTGAGCTCCCTCTCTACTCCTCCTCCGAGGATCCTAGTGGCCCCATAATCTTGGTGGGTCATCTCTACCTGCCCCTCTCCTAGTGTTTCCAGATGTGCATGACCCATACTCCTGGGCTGCTCTGGCCAGCCCCTGCCTCTGCTCGGACTTTGTTCTGGGTCTGAGGACAGCAGTCCCGGCCTGGAGGGGGCCCAGGGAGTGAGGACAGGACTGAGAGGGTGGAGTAGGGAGTGAGGACAGGGCTGGGGGGGACCCAGGGAGTGAGAATAGGGCTAGGCTGGGGCAGGGAATGAGGAGAGGGCTGGGGGGGCCAGGGAGTGAGAACACCAGCCCCTCGCTGGAGTGGGGTTCGAGTTTTGCCACATTTCCAAGGCTCATCTTTGGGCACATTTTGACTTCAGAAAACAATTTGGACTTATCAGCCCCCAGTTAGCTGTTTTAAGGGGCCTGTCATATTGTAAGGAGTATTTATGAGCCCATATTTCAGCCTCTGACCTCCATGGGCTGATGTCCTTCCCTCAGGGCAGCTGGTTCCTGGCTCATGGCAGCCTGAGGCGGGAGGGCCACATGAGGTGGGCCTGCTCATCTTCTGGAGGTGTCTCTCCTGCTGCTGCTGCCTGGGAGGTGTGCGCAGAACTCCCCTCTTCAGCTAGATTAAGAAGGCCATGTTGGTGAGGAGGGCTGTGAACAGAGACACTGAAGGCTCTGACTCAGGAGGGCGACCTCTAGGCCAGAGCCCAGGCCCAGCAGACATTGGGAGGACACCTTGGGGAGTGGGGAAAGGGGAGGCGGGGCTCTGCCATTGCCCTCTCTGGACCTCGGTTTCCCTGGCTATCAAGGAGAGGTTTGGACAAGGCAGCTTATGGGGCTCCTAGCAGCACCAATCAGTCATCGCTTGACCTCCCAAGAGCCAGCACTTTGCTGGGCACTAGGCGTGCCCTCAAGGGGCTTACAGAGGATGACCCCTGCCCTGCAGCCCAGGCAGCTCTTCTGTCACCTCTAAGCATCTCCTGACCCACCCATTCCTCTGAGGAAATGGCTTTGGGCAGCTGGGAGGCCCCCCAGATAGAGCTGGGTCTGGAGTGAAAAAGATCTGAGTTCGAATCTAGCCTGGCAAGTCTGCCTCCACTTCCTCAACTATAAAATGGGGGTGGTAATAGACAGGAAGGTGACAGGCCCAAATCAATGATTGTCCCTTCCTTTCCCCTCCTCCCCTGAGTTGGCCTGAAGGATGTCGAAGGTTCATGATGTGACCTTGAGGGATGGTGACCTAGCTGCTCTCTCAGGAGCCTGTGGGGCAGCGAGCCTCTTGTCCCAAGATTGAGACCTCATCAGGCCCAGGTAGAGCACAGCCGGGGCAGTGGGCTAGACAGGCTTTCCTCATGGTTGCAGGAGCTAGCTGTGAGCAAGCTCACTGCCTGACTCTGTTCTGACCAACCCGTCTCATCCTTCTTTAAGGGGACCTTGAGCAGCAGACCCAGGAACTTGGAGGGAAGATGACTGAGGCTAAGCTCACAGACTGGAGTTATCGCTGCCTGGAGAGGCTCTGGGCTTGCCGTCCTGGGAGGTCTGCAAGACTGACCAGCCCTTGCAGGAAATGCCCCCAGCTACAGGCCTCCAGGGCTGGGTGTTTGGGATGCTGCCCTGCTTTTCCCGATCTCTGGAGCTGGCCCAGGCTCACCAGGCTCTTGGAGATGGCCACCTGGGAGGCAGGGACTGTGTGCAGTCTCATCTCCTGGATGAGAAGCCTGAGGCCCAGGTACGCTCAGTGATTTCTCCAAGGTCACACAGTCAGTGACAGAGCCGGGCCACACGGCCAGTGCCCGAAGCCCCATAATCCCACCTGGCATCTGTCCTTGACAGGTGGGGCTCCAAGGCCTTGTGTCCAGGGGGCTGGCTTGTGAGGGGGGGCAGCAGGCTCCAGGTGGGGGTACAAGGCACGGGGGAGGGGGAGCCACAGGGTGAGAAGGGCAGCCTTCATGTGCAAAGGTGGGCCTCCCCTACCATCTGAGGACATTCTCCACTCCCAGCCTCTCAGTCCTGGCTACCCGTGGGACAGAGTGGCCCGCTCTCTGTCCTGGCCAGCTCCGGGCTAGGCCGGCCCTAGGGCCCTGCCAAACAAGGCTCCCTGTGGGCTGGCCTGACAGAGCCTCCTCCCATCCTGTGATCCCGGCAGACCAGCAGCTCTGGCCAAGCTGGCGAGTGAGTGTGCCTGTGTGACCACAGTTGAGGTCAGGGAGGCCTGAGGCCCTCAGAGCTCAGACCCAGATCAAGTGCAGGGACCCATGGGCCTAGGCTGCCTTCCATGGAGTGGGGGCGTCACTGGGGCTTCCCCAGACAGGGTCCCTGGGCCGCTCTGCCAGGGACCGCAGATCAAGGCATCAGCTTCTCCATGCGGGGATTCTCTGGCGCCAGGTGAAATGGAGAAAAAGTACCTGGTGGAATGCAGAAATAATTAAGACAAGCACTACATGCCAGAAAATCTTGTTAGACTCGGCTCTGTTTCACAGAGCTCAAGACCTCCATGAGAAAGTCACTCTGCAGTTCTGCTCGCAGGTAGATGCAGCCTGCAACGTGAGTTATGTCTGAGATGTCTGGGCACTGATGATAGGAAAGGGAGGAGAAGGGGCTGGCCTTGTGACAAAGAATCTTAGGCCCACTCCTACGTGGGGGGTGGAGCTGCAAACTGCCTCAATCATCCCGGAAACACTTTGAAGCTCGGCTGAGTAACCCACAACAATGTCCGGACCCTTTGACCCAGGGGGGCCAGTAACCACATACCCCAAGAAGGTCAGAGACATAAAGGACGATCCCACGGGGCAGCCCTGGGCGAAGCAGCAGACGCTCATTGAATGGAGGATGGCCAACCAAGCCGTGGCACATGAATCAATGGAGTATTGCTGAGCTATAAGAAATGGGGAATTGGGACAATCAGGGAGAGAGATGGGAACTGACGGAGAGTGAAGCAGGCCAAGCCGAGGAAACAGTATACCCAGTGAGCGCGACAGAAAAAATGGAGACGCCGATACACAGGCCATCACTGGATGTCCGGAAATGATGGCGGCCCCAGGAGGCAGAGAAACCCCTCCCCACCTCTCTGCAGAGGTGGGGGGGTGGCCCATTGAATACTGGCTGGAGCTACTGAGAGACTGCAGAACTGGCTTTCTTCCTCTTTGTTGTCTTGTTACAAGGGATGAGACTTGACCGGGGAGAGGGAGGCCAGAGACGCGTGCACTCCAGTGTGTGTGTGTGTGTGTGTGTGTGTGTGTGTGTGTGTGTGTGTGTGTGTATGCATCAGTTTGTAGATAATACCTAACATCTGTAGAGAGCCTTAAGGTTTGAAAAGCCCAGCACAACATGCATTTTATGTGTTATATATGGATGCATACATGGACACGTATATTATGTATGTGTGTATATGTGCGTGTGTATTTTATAAATATACACATATTTGTGTGTGTGTCTATGCATATGCATGTATCTATGGCTGCGTGTGTGAGAAAGACCAGGGCAGACAGACGAAGGGTGGAGGGCGGAGGATGTCCCAGTCACAAAATCTCTGCTTTTGCTCCCCTCAGGAAGAGGCTAGCAGCTGGTTCCCAGAGGCTTGTGATGACCCCTAATGGAAGTGCCCCAGGGAGAGCCGGGAATCTGCAGCCTCTGTGGTCACCCAGAAGCCCCTCCCAAGGGCTTAGCCAGCCGGGGAGACCCTGCCACCCTCTGGGGTGAGTCACCCACTGGTGCAGGCGTGGGGACTCCCGGGTGAAGGGGATTGGAGAACGTGACCTACGCAGCTCCCTGCCGTGGCTGGCCCTGCTCAGCAACCAGCTATCTCTTCCCAGGCATCTCTGCAGACCTAGGCGTTTCAGGAAAAAGGAGGAGGAGTTCCCTCAGTGGGAACCATGCCCTGCTGTGCCCATGGCTCCCTTGCTGGCTTGTGGTGAAGCCCGCATCAGCCTGGCATCTGGCGCAGATCTGGGGCCCTGCCAACGCCCCTTCGCATTCAGAAATGCTACTCTCAGGGCCCTGCCAGGGGAGTTGAGGAGGTTGGCCAGCATGTGCCCTCCTTCTGAAGGCCGGTGCCCAGCAGCAGGAAACAGCCCTGGCAGCACAGCCAGGAATCAGCCGCTTTCTGGGGTGAGAAACAAGGGAGCGTGATGGGAAAGCAGAGAAAAGACGCAAGGGGGAGAGGTGGCCTCAGTGCCTGAGTCTGAGCCCTGAAACTTAGCCCCGCCTTGTTCTGTGCTGCACCCCAGGGCTGAGGCTTGACCACGAGAGCCCCCCAGGGCCTGCCTAGGCTGCCCAGGGCTCTGCAACTCAGAGAAGCGACTTGCCCAAGGTCACCCAGCTGGAGCCTTAACTCCCGGCCAGGCCTTCACCCCTGCACCTGCATGAATGGCCGAAAGCCTGGGCTGTCTTCTGGTGGGTGAGGAGAACATGGGCAGGTCGTTTAACCAAGCTCTCAGCCTCAGTTTCCTCAACTGTAAAATGGGAGTCATAACAGCAGCTGCCTCTCCCCAGTGAATTGTTGTCAAGGACAAACGAGATAATTTGAGAGGTGCTTTGCAAGCCTTAAGGTGGACTGTAATATTCTGCTCCGCCAGGTCACCAAGGGGCTGTCTTACAACAAAAACCTCCCCATCTCACAACCCTGTCACAACCCTATCCAAAAAGCCTCCCTGCTGCCTCTTGGAGAAAGTGGGACCCCCTTTGTTTTTGCACTGACAGCCCCTCACAATCGGACTCTAGGCTGTCCTGCACTCCGCTCCCATGCCTCACCTCCACAAATTCTCCAGACCAGTCCTCTCTGTGTTCAGACTGGAGTTAAGAAGATGTCCAAGGCTGAGCTTCCTGCTTCTGACCACGCATGTGTGCCAGACTCAGCTCTCTACTGGCAGGGTCCTCAACATCCTCTTCTCTTCCAGCTTCAGGCTACGTTGAGGCCATTCCAAGCCACTATTCAGAAGAGGAGCAGAAAGGAAGTCTCCTCCCCAGACGCCACGTAGTCCTGAGCACGTGGCATCCGGGGCACGCTCTCTGTCTAGGCAAGCTGGAGCCTCCATCTGTGTTTGCTCTTCTGGATCCGGATGAACAGTTATCTATCCTCAGATGGGTGTGTCCAGGCTTGAAGTCAACTTCACAAGTCTGGGGTGTCCAGAAGTCCTGGCTTCCATCCAGTACCAGTGAGCCAGAGCCGAAGTGAGGCAAGAGAGGAGACCCTACCAACAACTTCGATGCCCCTGGAGAAGATGCCCACCACCAGGAAGGTGGGCCAAGCCTGGCCTTTGAGGAGAGGGATCAAACCCCCTTTTCTCTCACTCTTCTTGTGAACCCCCATCCCCCCCCCGGGAAAAGGCTTCTGGCTTAGATTTTCACTTGCGTCTCATGCCTTCTTCAAGGGAGGGAAGAGAAAAGGCGCTGAATATATTATATAAATCAGATATGGGACAGGCATTTATTTACCACACACAAAAGAACATCCAAAAAATCACAAGACTCACAAAGTGCATTGACAGAAAGCCTTCCAAGACGACTCAGTAAACTGGCTTAGGAATATTGTCCTAAGTGTTTCGCATGACTACACATGTATAGCTTGCATCTAGTTGCTTGCCTTCTCAATGAGGGTGGATGCGGAGGGAGGAAGGGAGAAAATCTGGAACCCAATGTTTTAAAAACAAACGTTAAAAACTGTTTTCACATATACCTGAGAAATAAGATATACAGGTAATGGGGTATAGAAATCTATCCTGCCCTACAGGACAATAGAAGGGGAAGGGGACAAGAGAAGCGGGGGAAGGGGAGATAGAAGGGAGGGCAGATTAGGGGAAGGGGTATTTAGGATGCATGCCATCTTGGGGTGCGGGGAGGGGCCTGAAGGGGAGAAAAATTGGAACTCAAAATCTTGTGCAAGTGAATGTTGAAAACTAAAAATAAACAAATTTAAAAAAAATTTTTTTTAAATGTTGTTCTAGCCTCTTCAGAGGCTGTTACTTAAAAGTCAGTGCAGAGAGCAGTCTGTGAAGCTAGCCATAGTCCATATTTCACCTCAGTTCTTTACCATCCTGAAGGACCAGCCTTGGTCACATGCCCTCTTCCTCATGAACTTCAGTGAAGGACCTTGGTGGATGTGCTCAGAAAAAAAAGAGCTAGAAATACTTTGAGCGAGGGATCATTTCTAGTCAGAGGGATGAGAAATCTTCACGGCACAGAGGGTTTTAGCCAGGGTTATGTGAATGTGGTTTTTTTCAGAAAAACTTTGAATAACTGCATTTCAATAAAATTGGTTGTTTTGTGTATCTTATTTTACCCATTTAAAAACATGGTTCTCAGAGGATTCATTAGGTCATCAAAGGGTCCAGGTGAAGATCCCCACTCACGGAGAATGTGGTATCCCAGCGGGGCCTGGAAGGAGGGGGAGGGTGTCTGTACTTGGAGATAAGAATGCAACTGACCTTTCTAATCAATCTAAAGGAATACTGGCCCAATTCCGGTCTGTTGCGTGGCTGTGCACCTTTGGGTAACCCTCCTCCCTTTTCTGGGTCCAGAGGGTTGGACTCTAATCTCAAATGGCTCAAGTTTGCAAACAGGATCCATGAGGAATGAGTAAGTCTTACCATAAGGGAGAGGCTGGCAGATGAAGGAAAGCAAGAGGAGGGGGAGGCTTGAGGCCCATGCCAAAGCTGGGGAGGCTCAGCACAGCCCAGGCCAGTTGAACCAAGGGAAAACCAGGCAGCGTCTACCTTTGAGCAGAATGGATGCAGGGCAGAAGCCCCAGGGCAGGCTGTGGCTAGCCTGCTTCTCCCACCACCAGCCTCCATCCCTATTGAAGGACAGCCCAGAATAGCACAATCTCTAAAGGCAGTGGCGTCTGTGCCCTTATGTGCTCAGGTGGGTGGCAATGAGGGTTCTCTGGGTCTGGCTCCTCATATGCCAGTAACCACTGCCTCCGGGGAGCCTGGATTCAGCCTCTGATGGTGAGAAAGGTTTGTGTGGGGAGCTGTTTGGCCACCAGATGGTGCTGCTAACCACAAACCTGAGCCTACTGCACAGGAAGGCTCAGGCCCTATGGCATGCTTCCCCCAGGGCTCCAAGTAGCCCCCTGAGCAATCCTCTGAGAGCCATCAATCTCCTACCTCCCAACTCTGCTTTTCCCTGGTTGGCCATGCCCAACTTTCTAGGGAGTGGTGGTATTAGTGGCGTGTTTTCCCAGGCAGAACCAGGCCTTGAGCCCCCACCTCTGGCCCAGTTCCCTGAATTTGCCTGCTTTTGTGTGACTGCTGCCCACAGAAACACACAGAACATGGCAAATTGTACACAGTTGTTTTATCCAGCAGAGAATCTCTTGCCCTGGGAGGTCTACACTACAGAACCCACATCAGCATCCGTGGTACCTGGACAGGGACACCTGAGAGAAAGTCCAGAGGAGGGCAAGTGTCCAGGAAGAGACAAGTCCTGAAGGCTATGCTATGGGGGTGAGAGAGACGGAGAGACAGGGAGAGACAGACAGAAAGACAGAGAGAGACAGGGAGAGACAGACAGAAAGACAGAGAGAGACAGGGAAAGACAGACAGAAAGACAGAGAGAAACAGGGACAGACAGAGAGAGACAGGCAGAGACAGACAGACAGAAAGAGAGAGACAGGGAAAGACAGAGAGACAGAAAGACAGAGACAGGGGAAAGACAGAGAAAGACAGGGAGAGAGGACAAAGTAGAAAGACAGAGAGAAGGTTCAGAGAGAGAGGGAGACAGACAGACAGTGAGACAGAAAGAGACAGAGAGAGAGACAGGAAGAGAGAGAGACAGGGAAAGACAGACAGAAAGACAAGAGAGAAACAGGGAGAGACAGAGAGAGACAGGGA